AGGGAGCTGGGGGGCTGGAGTGCTGAGGGGTGGGGGTCAGGGTGCTGGAGGGCTGGGGGCTGTGGGGCAGGGATGCAGGAATCTGGCACATTGGGGTGTATGGGGTGTGCTTGGGGAGTGTCAGGGAGTGTGGGGTGCTGGGGGGTCCCAGGGTCTGGGGGTCTGGGCAGTGTGGGGGGGGTGTCACCGCAGCCTCTGCCCGCAGACCCCGGGGCCCTGTGGCTACCGCCTGGTGGATGCCAACGTCTACAAGCAGCGTGCCCCAAAGTACAGCATGGCGGCCCGCAACTACCTCCCCGGGGACAACACCCTCAAGCCCGGACCTGGCACCTACACCCTGGAGCAGGTCGGGGGGCACCCGGGGGTCCCGGTGGGGCGGGATGGGGTCCATGTGCTGGTGGTGCCACCAGACACCCCCCACCCTCACCCCCGCTGTCTCTCCCACCCCACAGGGCCGGCAGCGGGGACAGACCTTCGGCATCCGTCACTCCAACTACCTGGTCCCCCTCATCGTGGATGTGCTGGATTAAGGGGGGGTGTGGGGTTGGGGGGGCTGCAGGGTGTGGAGTGGACCCCCAAAAAAACATCGATGCCTTCAGCCAGAGCTGCTCTCCTCGTGTCCTGCTGCGTTGCCACCCGGCCACTGTGGCCACCACGGGTGGTTGGGGAGCTCCGGACCCCTAGGAGCTGCCCTTGGCCCAGCCCGTGCCCTTCTCTCCCAGAGGAGACCCTGGAGAGGCCATGGAGGGGGGCGCAGGGCTGAGCTCTGGCCCCACGGCCCCACAGCCCCACGGGGTGCTGTGTGCCAGGGATGGAGGATGCGCTGCCCACGTGGGTACCAGCCCCTTCCAGCCCCTGCTTCAGCCCCATCCATGCTCCAGCCTTGTCCCGTCCCATCCCATCACCCCACCCCATCCCATCCCATCCCATCCCACATTTCCCTTGGTTCCCCCCGCTGTGCCCATCCCACTGTCCCCCAGGCCCAGCTCTGGCCACAGTCCCCACCCGGGCACTCACCCCTCCCCATGGCACCGGAGCCCTTGGCAAGCACCCACCCCATCCCCTTGCCCTGTGCCCCCCTGGGGCCACCCCAGCAGCTGGGGTCACACGTGGCCACCTGGACCCCCCTGGGGGCGTGGGGTGGCACTGGGGGCACTGGTCGGGGACGGGGAACCTGTCAGCAAAGTGTCATGGGGCACTTCCCTGTGCTGAGGGTGCTGTGGTTGCCACAGGTGCCATGGTTGCCACGGGTGCCACAGGTGTTGTGGGTGCCATGGGTGCTGCACGTGCCAGGGCTGTCACGGGTGTCACGGTTGCCATGGGTGCCCCACGTGCAATGGTTGCCATGGGTGCCCCAGATGCCACGGGTGCTGCGGGTGGGCCACCAAGATCTGTGTGGGTCCGAGGGAGGGGTGACCGTGCAGAGCCCCCAGGCACCACTGGGGCTGCCCCGTGGGGACGGGGTGGGGGCCCAGCCCTGTCCCCCACCCACTGGGGCCTCTCCCTGCCCGGCCCGACCCACGCTCGCTGCCCCGGGGACAGAGTCCAGCCCCGGGGAGGACGCCTTGGCACGGGCACGGGGCCAGGCTGGGCAGGAGCGGGCACCGACCAGACAGAACCGGGGTGACGGCTGTGTGGGATCGGGGTGACAGCCGTGGGGGGTCGGGGTGACAGCCGTGGGGGGTGAGGGATGGCCGCCCAGACGTCCCTCCCCACCCTCATCCGCAAGAAGCGGGACGGGGAGCGGCTGGAGGAGGAGGAGATCCAGAGCTTCGTGCGGGGGGTGACGGACGGCTCGGCGCAGGAGGCACAGATCG